AATTCTAATTTTTAATTTTAGTAGCGTTATTGAATTGTTCTAATGTGCTTCTATAGTTATCCATGGATGGTATTAAGCATATTTTATGTCAATGTCCTTCTCTATTTCTTCCATGAATACTCTGTTAAAATCTTATCTACATTCTATATTACATTTTAAAAAACATTTTATTAATTTTTAGGAAGTCTATTTTTGGATATTAATCATTTTAGTTAAGCATATATGTTATTTGATGAACATCTACTGGATACTAAGAACTTTGATAAACATTATGAAAAACAAAGAAATATAAGCTATAGTTCTTGCCTTCAGGTTTAAGTAGCTTATATTTTCATTGGTATGATAGAACCCTCCACAGAACAGATTCAAATAGAAATCAATATAATAATTTATATTAAATTGAAAATGAGTACTGATGATAGTAAATATTAGGGGCCATAAATAAAGATTAAAGAGAAGGGTTTAGATTAAAGATTAACAATTCCAGGGAAGGGTTTATGAAGGTCATAGCAATTAAGTTGGACCATGAAGCATGGATAAACATTAGATGGTAGAAATGGCAATCCTGGGTGTGTTAATCTTGGAGGTAGGAAAGCACTTGCCATTCAAGGAATGTGTGTGTTGGTCCTCAGTCATGTCCAACTCTCTGCAACTCCATAGATAGTAGTCCAACAGGCTCCTCTGTCCATGGAATTCTCTAAGCAAGAACACGAGTGGGTTGCCATGACCTTCTCCAGGAGATCTTCCTGACCCAGGGATCGAAACCAGGTTTCTCTGCACTGTGGGCAGATTCTTTACCATTTGAGCTACCCAGGAAGCCATTCAAGGAATAGAACTGTGAGAAATAGCTCAAGGAAAGTCAAGTTTTAGGTAAAGTCATTGTGAGGATAATACAATGTCCTGTACATTGTGTCAAGTACTTGGCCTACATGATCTCAGTTGATAACAACTACCTTAACATGTACAATCTTGTTAGATTCCATTCCTACTTAAGAGAAAAGGGAAACTCAGGAAGGTTTATGCCAAACAACTAGTTACTAGTGGTCCTGGCCTTGGGACAGAGGTCATGCCCTTCCTGTTAGAGCACGCTGTAATGGAATAGTACTGGTAAAAAGAAATGACATTCTAAAGGACCTTGAATATTAACCAGTGGGGTTTCTATTTTATCCTGAAAGCAAGTGAGAGTTTTGATGATTTTTAAATGAAGAAATGTTATGAATATGTTTTAGGAAGATGAATCATACCTATTAATATTATCATTCAGGTCAGTGCTCAAAAGTTTCCTCCGCAGAGAGGCCTTTCCTAACCACCATAAAGATAGCTTCCCACCATTTTCTGCCCAATTATTCTGCTTTATTTTCTTTATAGCATTCATAAATACCTCATATTAAGTCTTTACTATTTTCTTGATTCACTTAGTAAAATAATGCTTGACTAGATTAGTTAACTCCGCTTCCCATAAAGAATTATCAAAATAGAACTGATGAATCCTATACCAAAACCTACTTCCATCAGTAAATCCATTCCTTCAAAAATGTGCAGAGAGTCCAGGGAGAATTTTTAGATTAAGTGTGTTTCCAATGAGTAATGCTGTGGCAGAACTTTTTTTTTAATTGACGTATAATGGCTTTAAAGTATTGTGTTAGTTTCTGCTGTACCATGAAGTGAATCAGCTATATGTATACATATATCCCCTCTCTCTGGAGCCTCCCTCCCATCCCCATCCCACCCTTCTAAGTCATCACAGAGCAACCTGTGTTATATAGAAACTTCCTACTAGCTATCTATTTTACACATGGTAGTGTATATATTGCAACAGAATTATTGTATCCAAAAAAAAAAAAACACAATGTACATTTAAGTCCTTTGTCAGAGACTGCTGTGGTTGGTACAGTTGGTTTCACTGAGGAGGAGCCACAGTATCAGGAAAGGGGTAGACAGAATCTGAGTCAGAACACTGATTCACCAATTTGTGGTGGTATTTCTTGGGTGGACCTGTCAGATGACCAATCCACATTATGTCTATGTCTTAGTATCCAACCCAAAGAGAATTTTCATTTCTTCCTTTAAATCACAGATTCAAGTTGTCATCAACACTTGTTAAACAAGTTTCCTTTTAATTGCTTGCTGCTAGTGCACCCAGCCCTTAAGATCCCAAGTATCACTGTGGTTAGTACATTTACCTGAGAACCACTGATCAGGACAAAAGAAGTACAGAAGTTTCCTTTATCGTTACTAACATCAACAGCCATTATATCAGTACATTATGTACAGGTAAGTGGAGACTTGCTTGACTAAAATTCTGACATAAAAAGAATGAACACTTTTTCCACTATGACTCCCACCCAAGGGTTGAAGTAAAACAATTGAGTTTGAGGGGAATTTGTAATTTTTCCACAGCAGTTTGGATTTCCTGTCTGGAGGCAACCCTATTATTTACATGTTGTATCTGGGATCTATAGTTTTTGTTTGTTTGTTTGTTTGTTTTTAACAATTTGGGGAGTGCTTCAAAAAGCTAACATGCAGCTTAACATTCTGTGAATGAAAAACAATATTAATGTGTGACTGCTTTTTACTTAAACTTTTTTTAACTTTATATTGGAGTATTTAGTTGATTAATAACATGTTAGTTTCAGATGTACAGAAAAGTGACTCAGTTATACATATATATATGTATCTATTCTTTTTCAAATTCTTTTCCCATTTAGGTTATTACAAAGTATTGAGCAGAGTTTGCTGTGCTACACAGTAGGTCTCTTGTTGGTTATCTATTTTATATTTTTATTTATTAAAAAAATATGATTGCTTTACAATGTTGTGTTATTTACTACAGTACAGCAAAGAGAATCTGCTGTACATGTACACATATCCCCTCTTTTTTGGATTTCCTAGCCATTTAGTTCAATGTGTGACTATTTTAAAGTGGAGAGAAGGAAGCAGAGAGATAATTTTCTTCTCTCATAAAGCTAATGTTAAACTGTTGTTGGTGGTAATGATTATGAATCCTTCATTTTTGTTTAATATCTGTGGTTTCTGAAGTGCTTTCATGGATATAACCTTCAATCTCACAGTACCATTGCTTCATAAGGGTTCTCTATAGAATAATATATAAAATTATGTATTTTTATCTGTAAAATGTTCATAAACTAGAATAGTGTAACTACGTATAGACATGTGTTACCTCAAGTATCTAATTAGATTATTACTTCATCATGTCAAAAACGATTATTCATGCCAACCATTTAAAAACATGCATGGAGGTTTCATTGCAATGTATACAAAAATTAACTGATCCTAATTTATAATATTTATAACATTATATATTAAACATTATAATTAGGATAACTGAAATACAAACTCATACTTTACAGAAATGTTTCTCTAAAAAATGTGCATCCTAACATAATACTCTTAATTAACTATGTTCCAATATAAAATAAAAATAAATTCATGTAAAAATGTAATTAGAAGGAGCATGCTCAGTCAGGGGATTCCTGGAGAGAAGGATTGGGAGTTTGGGATTAGCATATGCAAACTACTATACATAGAATGGATAAACAACAAGGTCCTACTGTGTGGCATAGGAAACTATATTCAATATCTTCTGATAAACATATTAGAAGAATATGAAAAGAATGTATATATATGTGTAACTGAATCACTTTCCTATATAGTAGAAATTAACAAAACATTGTAAATCAGCTATAATTCAATGAAATAAATTTTTAATTTTTAAAAAAGAAAGAGCATGCTCACTGCAATAGAGCATACGAAGAATATTTTTCTTGAGCTAAAGTAAATATTGTTATGTGATTTCTTTTTTATTAAAAATGTTATGATATTTGTAGCCCTGATATTTTCTTATTAGTCACATCTTTGGTCTATCAGTTAAGGAAAGAGCATTCACTCACAGTTAAAATTGGAGAAGAAACAAAAAGATTGTTTTGTTCTGTTTCATTTTTCCTGGAAGTTAGTCATCACCTTTATGCTGGGTGGGTAATATTATTTTTATTTATAGAGCACCTCCTCCTTCTCCATCATTCTGACACTTGTGTGAAGTCCTAAACGGAAAGAATTGAAAGGATTAAGCCATTGTTTCTAAACACTGCTAATTAGCCAGGAAAGGTTCAAGCCCTAGCTCAGTGAGTAACTTCTCAGGGTGAGGCAATAATCTGATTGCCTGGGGGATCTGGGGGAAATCTTAAAGCATGGTTGCCTCTGCAGATGCATTTGATGAGACCTCAGGTCTCATCCTGTGCAGTCTGTGGCTGCACAGGAGTTCTGAGTGATGAAAGACCAAGAGGGAGAAAGGAAACAATACAAGTGAAAGTAAAGACTTCAAAACCATATTTTATCAATTTCATTTTCTTTTCTAGGGCTAGTCCAATGAAATGGGGAAACTCTTACAAGAAAGCTATGTTTTAGATCCTTGCCACAGAAGCTTTAAGAATTCATGGCAGTGAGATGGGCACTGCTCTGATCCAATATGACACTTCATATTTGTGTGTGTTCTTTTTATATAATAAGGACATAGTAAATAATATAGGATCATGATCATAGTATAAAAATTATAATAAACTTAGGCATCAAGAAGTCCTAAGGCACTTCTATTCTCTTCTCTTCCTGGACCCCCCTACCTGGCAAGGTCTTCACTTGCTAACTTTTTCCACTACCCATTGATCAGGGGAGGGACCTAGTGTCTAAGTAAAGGTCACTTAGCATCATCATAACTCCTGAAAAATAATTTCATAGCACAGATCCAGAGAGGTTCAGTCATAAGCTTTAAGGTAAATTCATAGGCTTCACTTCCTTCTTCCCCTTTCTTCCTTCTTTCCTTCCACTCTCCTTCCATCCTTTCTTCTTTCCTTCCTTCCATCCTTTCTTCTTTCCTTCCTTCCTGTCTTCAAATGTCTTTTGCTACTAATGTGTTTAGATTATGGATATTCTAGGGGTGAGCAAGAGAAAATAAATAAAGATTTGAAGTGGCTGACTTTTCTAATATGTCTTTTTTATTCATATTCTTTACTTGCAGGCCAGTCACATTTTCCCGGACATCTTTGCCACTGTGGATGATTGTCCTCATTGTGTTTGGAGTGGTGGCAATCCTAGGAACCACTATTGGTCTTCTAGTTCATTTTCTGGCAGTAGGTTGGTAAAGAATACATTTCTATTTCAAGTTTGTTGCAATTTTCATTTCTATTTCTACAAGACAAAGAAACAATTGCAAACAACAAATAATTTCCTTTTAGAAAGGCCATTAATGATCCAAGATCCCAGAAATAAGAATTATCAACATTTGTCAGTGTATTACAGACATTATTTTGAATATACACAGTAACATAATGTATGCTTTATAAAGACATGAGTGCATAGATAATTGGTAAAAAGTGAAAGTCTCTCAGCTGTGTCCAACTCTTTGCCACCCCATGGACAACACACCCATGGAATTCTCCAGGCTAGAATACTAGAGTGGGTAGCCCTTCCCCTCTCCAGGGGATCTTCCCAACCCTGGTCTCCAACATTGCAGGAGGATTTTTTACCATCTGAGCCACCAGCATTCTTTACCAGCATAATGTATGCTATATAAAGACATGAGTGTGTGGAAAATTGGCAGATAGGCAGAAAAAGTAATCTACCAAGATAGTATCAAGGGTGTTATTTTATATTGATAATTAAAATATTATACTCATTGTATATGATGAAGAGAGAAGGAAATGGCAACCCACTCCAGTACCCTTGCCTGAAAAATCCCACGGTTGGAGGAGCGTGGTAGGCTACAGTCCATATGATGAAGAGTAATCAAAGAATATTGAATTTTGACTATTTGTTTCTTGATAATGAAGATATCAACAATAAAAAGTCTTCTTAACACACATTTTAAAAAAGACTTTGAAAAACAAGAGAGAACTTGGAGTCATTTTTTAAAATCATGTTTTTGTTTTTCTTTTTTTTTGGTAGGTGATTTTTTTTTTCATTTATTTATATTAGTTGGAGGCTAATTACTTTACAATAGTGTAGTGGTTTTTGCCATACATTGACATGAATCAACCATGGATTTACATGTGTTCCCCATCCTGAACCCCTCTCCCACCTCCCTCCCCACCCCATCCCTCTGGGTTATCTTAGTGCACCAGCCCTGAGCATTTGTCTCATGCATCAAACCTGGACTGGCGATCTGTTTCACAATTGATAATATACATGTTTCAATGCTATTCTCTCAGATCATCCAACCCTCACCTTCTCCCACAGAGCCCAAAAGTCTGTTCTATACATCTGTGTCTCTTTTTCTGTCTTGCATATAGGGTTATCATTACCATCTTTTTAAATTCCATGTATATGTGTTAGTATACTGTATTGGTGTTTATGTTTCTGGCTTACTTCACTCTGTATAATGGGCTCCAGTTTCATCCACCTCATTAGAACTGACTCAAATGAATTCTTTTTAATGGCTGAGTAATATTCCATTGGGTATATGTACCAGGGCTTTCTTATCCATTCGTCTGCTGATGGACATCTAGGTTGCTTCCATGACCTGGCTATTATAAACAGTGCTGCAATGAACATTGGGGTACATGTGTCTCTTTCAGTTCTGGTTTCCTTGGTGTGTATGCCCAGGAGTGGGATTGCTGGGTCATATGGCAGTTCTATTTCCAGTTTTTTAAGGAATCTCCACACTGTTCTCCATAGTGGCTCTGCTAGTTTGCATTCTCACCAACAGTGTAAGAGGGTTCCCTTTTCTTCACAGTCTCTCCAGCATTTATTGCTTGTAAACTTTTGGATAGTAGCCATTCTGACTGGCGTGAAATGGTACCTCATTGTGGTTTTGGTTTGCGTTTCCAGCTGGATCTCCTTGCAGTCCAAGGGACTCTCAAGTGTCTTCTCCAACACCACAGTTCAAAAGCATCAATTTTCCGACACTCAGCTTTGTTCACAGTCCAACTCTCACATCCATACATGACCACTGGAAAAACCATAGCTTTGACCAGACAGACCTTTGATGGCAAAGTAATGTCTCTGTTTCTTGATATGCTGTCTAGGTTGGTCATCACTTTCCTTGCAAGGAGTAAGCGTCTTTTAATTTCATGGCTGCAGTCACCATCTCCAGTGATTTTGGAGCCAAAAAAATAAAGTCTGACACTGTTTCCACTGTCCCCCCATCTATTTCCCATGAGGTGATGGGACCAGATGCCATGATCTTAGTTTTCTGAATGCTGAGCTTTAAGCCAACTTTTTCACTCTCCTCTTTCACTTTCATCAAGAGGCTTTTTAGTTCCTCTTCACTTTCTGCCATAAGGGTGGTGTCATCTGCATATCTGAGGTTATTGATTTTTCTCCCGGCAATCTTAATTCCAGCTTGTGCTTCTTCCAGCCCAGCGTTTCTCATGATGTACTCTGCATATAAGTTAAATAAGCAGGGTGACAGTAAACAGCCTTGATGTACTCCTTTTCCTATTTGGAACCAGTCTGTTGTTCCATGTCCAATTCTAACTGTTGCTTCCTGACCTGCATACAGGTTTCTCAAGAGGCAGGTCAGGTGGTCTGGTATTCCCATCTCCTTCAGAATTTGGTTGTCTATTCTTGCCTCCTTTGTCGAATGTAAGGTGTCCATAGGTACATGGATTTATCTCTGGGCTTTCTATTTTGTTCCATTGATCTATGTTTCTGTCTTTGTGCCAGTACCATACTGTCTTGATGACTGTGGCTTTGTAGTAGAGCCTTAAGTCAGGCAGGTTTATTCCTCCACTTCCATTCTTCTTTCTCAAGATTGCTTTGGCTATTCAAGGTTTTTTGTATTTCCATACAAATTGTGAAACTATTTGTTCTAGTTCTGTGAAAAATAACATTGGTAGCTTGATAGGGGTTGCATTGAAGCTATAGATTGCTTTGGGTAGTATACTCATTTTCTCAATATTGATTCTTCCAATCCATGAACATGGTCTATTTCTCCATCTGTTTGTGTCCTCTTTGATTTCTTTCATCAGTGTTTTATAGTTTTCTATATATAGTTCTTTTGTTTCTTTAGGTAGATATATTCTTAAGTAGTTTATTCTTTTAGTTGCAATGGTGAATGGTATTGTTTCCTTAAATTCTCTTTCTGTTTTCTCATTGTTAGTGTATAGGAATGCAAGGGATTTCTGTGTGTTAATTTTATATCCTGAAACTTTACTATATTCACTGATTAGCTCTAGTAATTTTCTGGTAGAGTCTTTAGGGTTTTCTATGTAGAGAATTATGTCATCTGCAAACAGCAAGAGTTTCACTTCTTCTTTTCCAATCTGGATTCGTTTTATTTCTTTTTCTGCTCTGATTCCTGTGGCCAAAACTTCCAAAACTATGTTGAATAGTAGTGGTGAGAGTGGACATCCTTGCCTTGTTCCTGACTTTAGGGGAAATGCTTTCAGTTTTTCACCATTGAGGGTAATGTTTGCTGTGGGTTTGTCATATATAGCTTTTATTATGTTGAGGTATGTTCCTTCTATTCCTGCTTTCTGGAGAGTTTTAATCATAAATGGATGTTCAATATTGTCAAAGACTTTTTCTGCATCTATTGAGATAATCATATGGTTTATATCATTCAATTTGTTAATGTGGTGTATTACATTGATTGATTTGCAGATATTAAAGAATCCTTGCATTCCTGGGATAAAGCCCACTTGGTCATGGTGTATGAACTTTTTAAGATGTTGTTGGATTCTGTTTGCTAGAATTTTGTTAAGGATTTTTGCATCTATGTTCATCAGTGATGTTGGCCTGTAGCTTTCTTTTTTGTGACATCTTTGTCTGGTTTTGGTATTAGGGTGATGGTAGCCTCATAGAATGAGTTTGGAAGTTTACCTTCTTCTTCAATTTTCTGGAAGAATTTGAGCAAGATAGCTGTTAGCTCTTCTCTAAATTTTTGGTAGAATTCAGTTGTGAAGCCATCTGGTCCTCAGCTTTTGTTTGCTGGAAGATTTCTGATTACAGTTGCAATTTCCATGCTTGTGATGGGTCTGTTAAGATCTTCTATTTCTTCCTGGTTCAGTTTTGGAAAGTTATACTTTTCTAAGAATTTGTCCATTTCTTCCAAGTTGTCCATTTTATTGGCATAGAGCTGCTGGTAGTAGTCTCTTATGATCCTTTGTATTTCTGTGTTGTCTGTTGTGAGCTCTCCATTTTCATTTCTAATTTTGTTGATTTGATTCTTCTCCCTTTGTTTCTTGATGAGTCTGGCTAACAGTTTGTCTTCTTTTTGTCTTCTTCTTCTGGGACTCCTATGATTCAAATATTGGGGTGTTTCACATTGTCCCAGAGGCTCCTGAGGTTGTCCTCATTTCTTTTGATTCTTTTTTCTTTTTTCCTCCATGCTTCATTTATTTCCACCATTCTATCTTCTACCTCACTTATCCTATCTTCTGTCTCTGTTATTCTACTGTTGGTTCCCTCCAGAGTGTTTTTTATCTCATTTATTGCATTATTCATTATTAATTGACTCTTTTTTATTTCTTCTAGGTCCTTATTAAACATTTCTTGCATCTTCTCAATCCTTGTCTCCCGGCTATTTATCTGTAACTCCATTTTGTTTTCAAGATTTTTGATTATTTTTATTATCATTATTCTAAATTCTTTTTCAGGTAGATTCCCTATCTCCTCCTCTTTTGTTTGGTTTATTAGGCATTTTTCATATTCCTTTACCTGCTGGGTATTTCTCTGCCTTTTCATCTTATTTAGATTGGTGTGTTTGGGGTGGCCTTTCTGTATTCTGGTAGCCTGTGGTTCCTCTTTATTGTGGAGGTTCCTCCCAGTGGGTGGGGCTGGACAAGTGGCTTGTCAAGGTTTCCTGGTTAGGGAAGTTTGTGTCAGTGTCCTGGTGGGTGGAGCTGAATTTCTTCTCTCTGGAGTGCAATGGAGTGTCCAGTAGTGAGTTTTGAGATGTGTATGGGTTTGGTGTGACTTTGGGCAGCCTGTATGTTGATGTTCAGGGCTATGTTCCTGCATTGCTGGAGAATTTGTGTGGTATGTCTTGTCTGGAACTTATTGGTTCTTGGGTGGTGGTTGGTTTCAGTGTAGGTATGGAGGCTTTTGGATGATCTCTTGTTAATTAATGTTCCGTGTAGTCAGGAGTTCTCTGGTGTTCTCAGGTTTTGGGCTTAATCCTCCTGCCTCTGGTT